AATGAAAAGGTAAAAAATCATTATATATAAATGAAAAGCAACTTACAATTATTTATATATCATAAGTTCACTGATTTCATTATATATAAATAACGAATTGACTTCAAACTCATTATTTATAAATAACTGCTTTTACATTTCATTAAATATAAATAATAGCTGTCGCAAAACCATTATATGTATATATTGCTTGGACTTGGACGGGATCAAATAAGTAATAAAAATTTGCCATAATTCGCCAAATATCCGTGACTGTCAGGGGGTGAAGCCCCCTGGACCCCGCCGCAGTGGCGTAAGCAAGAATTTAGTCTAATGAAACTTGTTTATCATCTTGATACCTTCCCCGGCGTTGTCAGTGACGTCGTATGATTTGTGTGCGATTATTACCAATTAACAAATCAATCCAGAAACCCGGTAGTTTACAATGTCTTATGCGCTTACAAAGATGAAAATTAGCATAATGTATTAATGTTGATAACAAAATTATTTTATCTGGTACCAATCTAAGCTCTTCATCCTTAGATGTTAGATGTGCTTGCAAAGCCAATATTTACTATTACTAGCAAAATATAAACAGTCCCTTCCTCATCAATAAAAACAAAAGCGAAATAACGAATTGTCCTGATTAAAAAAAATAGTGGGGCTCAGTTGAATATGGTAGTTTTTAGAATAGTACGTACTTCAATTTCTTTTTCGGGTACCTAATTAATTAAATTGGGGTTTCTTTTACTCAATTCGTCAAAAACATTATTATTTAATAGGTAATGTAAGTTCTATTTTGGGGCATCCAGTGGTATAAAATACTGAAATTTTTGCGTCACCGCCAACCACGATGGCACTGACGTGATGTGGACTCTCATTACATCAGCACCCCGTTCTTTAAATTATGGATACGCCACATTGCTGAAAACAATAGTTAAGACAAAATATATATTTCCATTCGTTTTGTTGTTCATGTAAATAAAATGTCTGATAGGTTATTACTTAAAAACAATGCTAAAAACACAGTGTCAATACGAACATTTACACATGTAGGACTGGGCTGAGCGACTCCGAATTAAGGTGGAATTAGTAGTGGTTAAGTGACGTTTGTCATGCACTGTATTATGCGCTATAGAAATGGAAGACCATAATGTAATGGAAATGAACCTCTCTGGTATTGCCGATTTATTTACAAATCGAGAATCGAGATACAACCACATTACTTAACGTACCGCACCATATTTCCGAATAAAATAGACAATTTAGAAATATACCAGAGGCCAGATACATTTTCTAACTAACCGTCCATTACATTCTAATTTATCAATGAAAGTAGTAATAAAAAGATAAAAACTACCAAAATGTCATAAACTATCAATGACTTTAATATTTTCTGAGTTAATCCTTTCCTTTTTCATAGTGTCCAATGGTTACCATACCAAATTGGTGGGATACAGTGATAAACTAAATATCTTGTTTAATATTTTCTAATTTACACATAAAAACACATAGAAAAAAATTATTAGACCATCACTCCAGCCCGTGTCAAAAAAATTGGCAAATATTGATGCGGAAATTTTAAAAAGTGATTATTTTTCTTGGCCGCATCATTTTTTCTACAGCATAAAAAACAATGTAATTTTGTGATTGGAAATAGGCCTACGTTTTCTTTAAAAAACAATAAAAATTAAACCAGTTTTATACAATATTTACAATATTCTTGCCAAATAAAAACAGTCCCTCCCTTATGTTCCGATTAAAAAAAGAAGAAGAAATAAAAAGGCCCACCCTATTCACTTTAAAAAAAATAGTGATCTAATAATTTTTCCTATGTGCCCTAAATTGGCTATAGTGGGATACAGTGATAAACTATAAATATCTTGTTTAATATTTTCAAAAATAATCATATTCTTTTTCATTGTGTCCAATGGTTGCCAAATTGGTTATAGTGGGACACGGTGATGAAGTACAACTGTCTTTAATATTTTGTAAGTTAATCCTTTTCTTTTTCATTGTGTTCAATGGCTTCTAAGAGCACATAGAAAAAATTATTAGATTATCACTCTTTAAAAAAAACGATGAGGAGGGCGTTTTTTTGTTTTTTTTAATCAGAACAATTCGTTATTTCGCTTTTGTTTTTATTGATGAGGAAGGGACTGTTTATATTTGGCTAGTAATAGTAAATATTGGCTTTGCAAGCACATCTAACATCTAAGGATGAAGAGCTTAGATTGGTACCAGATAAAATAATTTTGTTATCAACATTAATACATTATGCTAATTTTCATCTTTGTAAGCGCATAAGACATTGTAAATTATTTCTGGGACAGTCTTTTGAACTGTGTAAAGCTCCATTTTATCCCATACATAGTCAAAATTTGGGGAGGGGGATGATACAATGGACCACCCCCCCCCCTTGTTAAATATTGGGGGGGGGGATATATCCCCCATCCCCGGGATCTACGCCTATGCTTTGATACATTGAAGTGATAGGCCTACATTTACCGTCAGCCTGCAAATACAATACTATATAGGCCTATTGGTTGTTTTTGGGGAGAGTTGAGAACATATTGAGAATATGAATATCTAGGTGCCCGGAAATTGTACTCTCATACCTCAGCTTAAAAAAATATTTTTCCCAATACAATTTAGGGGGTGCGATCGCACCGTCTGCACTCCTCCCCTACATCCACCAAGCCGCATTTACAGTATATCAGTTGTATAAGCTCAGTTCGCCCATGAATCAAATTTTATTTATTTATTCATTTATTTTAAATCGATCAGTAGGTCTCTCGCAACGAAGCACAGAACAGCTGATCATTGAGACTGATACAGGCTTGGAAATAGCGCTTGCGCAAAATATGTTCTAAAACCCGGGTATTCAACCTTTTTAAGCTGGGGACCAGTTCCAATTTGTTGAGTACCAGCGGCGGGCCGACATTGCGTACTTCCATTTTCTTTTATAGCGGTGCATTCGAAATAGAAGGGTGCCAGGGAACAACTTTCACAGATAGGTAAAAATACCATCTCAGCCCCACCATGGTTGGGGCTGAGGCAAAACAAAATTCTTCTATTTTCTTTCTTTTAGAATTTTGGAGAAAAAAAAAACAAAAAAAAAAACTCCAAGTTTCCCTACCTTGCCACTAGAGATTTTCCTACCACAAATATATCCACTCACCAGTACTTGGGGTTGAGCACATTTTTAACATAGATACCTCTACATTCCTGGAAATTGCACATTCCCGCCTCCCCCCCCCCCCCCCACACACTTTTTGGAAGGTAAAAGAATTTTTTTTAAAGAAAGAGAGAAAGAAAAAGAAAAAAACTGATCGCCCAAAACGCCTCAAATGTTATTTTCGGACGTCTAGAATA